TTCTACATATGTTCTACCAATTAATGTTTGAATAGAGCAGCGATTAGAGAGACATCTGCCATTGTATATCCATTCAGAAAAGAGCTAAAGTTGTACATTCATATGCAATGAAGACAAAAATAAATATTTGCAAAGGTAAACTATACATTTAGATTATAAAGATAATTGAGAAGATTTTCTTTAATGAGTGTTCTCTATTTTACAACATTTGGGATTATTTTTTATTTATAAATACATAATCTTTCATCAATATGTGTCTTGAAATGGCCAAATTATTCACTGAAAAAGCATTTATTCATTCAGGTTCATGATTTTAGGCCTTGGGTGAACTGGGTTTCACATCTATTTGTTTGCAATTTGCACTATTTTTGCTTCAACCCAGCTATTTGTGAAGTGCTAACTTGATTACTGTGCAACTGTGACACATGATTGGGCACAAAAATCATGTGGCATTTTTTCACCTCACCGGAAGGCAATACTTAGAGTAACAAACGGATTATAGCTAGGAGAATAATCTTATTTACAGGTTTTTCTATGCAAGCTTGGACTTTTGTATACTAAGAGGTCCTTACAAACCCTTTTTTAAAAATAAGAATTCCTTTTTACAGACATTCATATATAGCAGTGACAGTGACAGAAATACTATCAGAGTAAAAAGCAGCTTGAAGTTTTAGCAAACTCTTGTTACTACTGTTTGAAGAGAGCAACCTTGTCCTCTGAATTTAAAGAGCAGTGGGATATGTCACATCCTGCAATGAATTGCAGATCTCACTCTCCACCATTAGCACAGAGCAATCTGGTAGTTGCACCTTAATGTTGAACAGAAAAAGACAAGGTAAAGCATTTGGTTCTCTCTAATGGCTGGAAAGAACTATAGAACAGTTAAGGACTCTTGCCCAAAAGCGATGCCCCTGCAAAAACCAGCTGAGCTTAAAAATTATTTTGTCCAAGGAAAAGAAGTTCTTGTTGCACAATGCCAATCGGGATTAGAAAAGGTAAGGACAAAGAGCAATGCTACTACTGTTAGAAAATCAATACCGTTAAAGGCTATAGCAATTAACTACAAACCAATTTAAACCCCGTTTCCTTTTCACTTTTCTTGTCTCGTTGAAATACTTCCAACTCTTCCATCTGGAGCAACTATTACTATTATTTCTAAATGCAGAAACTGAAGAAGGTCTGGATATATAGATGGGTGTGTACCACCTTTTCACCTATCCTTAGTAAGTACCTCCAAGTTTTCATTACAAAAAATGGCAGGACTACAATATCCCACTGATTTCTCCAGTGACAAGTGAATTTATAAAAATTGCAGACACGAATTTCACTAAAAAAGTAAACCCGCACGTGTACAAGGTAAAGTAGAACTTGTCCCATAATGCTTAGAAACCCTATTCATAAAGCAAGGAATTCAGTGCGCTGGGTCTAACACAAACACACACAATGAGTGCCAATCTAGTTTGTGATCTAACTGTCAGCAAGCATTAAATCCACACAGAAAATGAATCACAGAGTTGGAAACCATAAATAAAAAAATAAATTATATGTCTAAACAACCCTGAACTACCTAGGAAAACCCCAAAACCAAAGTAAGTCCTCACAGCATCCACAGTTCATTGCTTTAGTTTTATCTGTAAATTGATGACCTAATGTGATCTAAATTTTGCTTCCTTCTCCAAGATTTACTATTAGTAAAGCCATCTCAAAACTTTTCTACTTTCAATTTCTTCTGACCAACAGAAACTTTTGTTCCCCCAGACGGACTAGTGGCATCTGTTTGTACCACCTTTCAGCACGACCCAGAAGAAACCAGAGCGTTAAAGCTTAGGTTTAGCACTGTTACCAAGGGTGACTCGGCAATAAAGAGTTTACCTACTCTAATCTAAATCTCCGAGTTAAAATTTCAGAAGGAAAGCTGACTGGTCTTGCACCTATAAATCATTTTTACAGCAAAATTTGGTTGCTAGCACAGTAAATAAAAAATAGTGCTCACTGAAAGCATAATTGAACCTTCGTTTAGGAGAATGCTTTTCCAATGTTGAGGAAAAATAGTGACACTCAGTTTCCACTTCAGAACTCATTTAATGGCCAACCCAAAGTGTCTCAGAGCAGGCTAGGAGTTAAAATTTCACTTGTGTAATTATTCTGAGGAAATATGTAAGTCTGCCATCTGGAAGTATATTAGACATTACAAAGTCACTGTGTGCATGCCTCAGCAGATGCAGCTTTTGTTCCGAGTTTTGAGGGCTGTTAATTTAATTAGTTTTGTATTTTCACACTCCCACCTTCCCTCCAAGAGTAATTCTGCAAAGACAGCATCAGTACAGCTTCAAAAGAATCCAAAGCTAAAAGCCAAATTCAGATTTTAAGGAAATACAAACAAGTATACTTACTATGGACTTCAAATAGATCTTGATCTGTTCATTAGCTAGCCTAAACACTACTGCCAATGGCTTTTTAGACCATAACAGAAAACTGTGCTCAATGTATACTTTCCGAAATCACCTTTATTATTTTAAGAAGGCTAGGAAATAATTCAATCATTTTGTTTTGTTTGTTTATTAAAACCACTCAACAGCAAAGATCTTGCACAGTAAATGTAAGCTACATATTTCTGATAAAGCAAAGTTTCACAAACCTAAAAACTAGGACCATTACTGGACTAAAAACAAGTACTACCCCGTTACAGATTCTTGAAGCATTTCACATTTCTTATCACAACTTGCAAACTAAATAATGTGACATTTCTATCAAATAATTCATAACAGACGGTATAAGAACTGTGATTAAGGTGTGTACATGTACAAATGATCCTATTTGCTTATCTCTAACCTTTAACCCTGTAAGTTGCAACACATGAGCAGATCTCTGTCAGTGCAGAGTCCTAATCACTGCACGGATCTCCATGCAGTAATGCAGAACTATAAACCCAAGTTGTTTATTAGATTGTAAACCTATGCCAAAACATCATCCTGCAATATTTGACATTTATAACTAATTTCAAATGAAAATCAAGACAAGGCATGGAAAATAGCGACGGACCCAAAACTGGTGCTGTTCGCACAGCCCAACAAGCTCAGGCCTCGGGGGTCCAAGCACATTTGAGACACCATGAGGTATGCACCCACAGCTAAGAACAGGAATGTGGGAACAGAGATAATTTTTAAAAAGCTATGCACTTCACTTGCACAATTAACAGCAAGACCTTCAAATATCAAACATTTTATGAATAAAATGATTACAAACATCAAACAAGACTGATATTGGGGAAATCTCAGAGATAACCAACAGTGATCTTAAATCCTAGAAGCTTTATAAAATGTGTGTTATCACACCCATTAGGAAGAGAGATATGTGTATGCTATAGTTTGAAATTCAACTAACTAGGATAATTTACATTGGAACAGCTAATTAGGTTACTACACAGATACCTAGCTGCCCTGCTGCATGGACACCTGAGCTTCCTAACAAACAGTTTCTGAAAACAGAAGTTTACAGCCCAGTATTGATTACAGGTTGCCTGAGAACATAACGATGTAAACTGCAGCTGTCCAGGAGCCACTTGCTGAGCAGCTCAACCACCTGGGCAGCGGGAACAGTCAGCTGTGAGCAGTAACTGCACCAGACATACCAAAATAGTCATCCCTGTTCACAAACAGAAGCTTTTCACGTATGTTAGTTTCCAGTTATTATAACATTATCTAAGCAAAGAAACAAAATGAGAAAATAAGAATATTAGCTATAGTAAGAGAGATTTTCTTATAATCAATGCTATAAAAGAGGAAACTATACTAGAGTATGGTTGAAATGCTAAGGATACTCTGGGTTGCTCCTCCCAGCAAATATTATTCATCATACTGGACGACACAATTCTGAGAAACTGAGGAACTCTGCAGGTAATTTGTTTTTGTGTTTCGTTGGGGTTTTTTTAACAATAAACTAATATCAACAATCAAACCTGAATTTTCCTACTTCGTGGAAGAAGATGTTTCGATAATGATTATGATATTTATGAAAAGACACCATAACATTGTACTCGTAAGGGAAACAGTTTGCAGCTTAGGAAGTAGTACCCTACATAAAAGACTTCTGAATTTAGAGGATTATCTAAGAGAATATGTAAAAACACTACAAACCTTCTAATCAGATGAGAGATCAAAGAGACAACAAAGTCTGATAGGATTAGTCAAATATCACACTGAGACTAGGAATCTAAATACCTAGAGAGAAAATTATAAAGAAAATTATGATATCTAATGGCGGAAATACTGAAGAATACAGACAGTTTATAATGAAAAAACATTTATTCTAAAACCACCTATTTCCTGCAAAATACAATGCACAAAATTTAAAATCCAGAGCCAACTTTTAATCTAAGTTTTATGTATTTTTATATAACACATATACATATGGCCATGTATATCTAGTACACATGTAGATAGATCTATATAGACATACATATGTATACAAAATAGGTACATATGTCTATAAAATAGGTACATATGATGTGTTCCCCTGTTTCTGTATTGAAATAAAATTATCTATGAGATAAGATCTAAGAGAGTGAAGTGCTGCTCTACCCAGTGTTACTCTTGGAAAACAGAAAAGGAGCAAGTGGGCAGCAGCCCAGCAGGGTACAGAAGCAGCAGCTGACGCTGGCTACACAGGGACAGCAAGTGGCTCTGCGAGGGTTGGGAGGTGGTGAACCAGCTGTGATACCGCCTGATACTAGAGACAGATCAGACTTCGTAACAAAAGGGGAAAAAGTCGCACTAAAGACTTACTAAATCAACAAGAAGGAAAAAGGTATGGCATGTATTCAGCTCTGAAAAGTAAACAGCTGATCACACAGTAACTTCATATCTACAGGAACAGAACTAGGAGCCAAATTTGGCTACTGAACAACACAGGAAACTCAAATATTAACTTCTCACACAACTGAGATTTCAGACTCAATGATTTATTGCATGTTCCAGAGGCAACAATAAACATGCACTCACTGAACAGCTTTTGTCAGAATTCCTTTTCCATTGCTTCTTGACTTGTTTCTTTGCTGCAGTTGAATGAAGAGTTGCATGTGTCTGTTTTCGGGGATTTAAAGCCAGAATGTTCTGCAGAAAGAGAACAGAAAATATTAAAATATAGATAAAATTTCCAAAAAGGTTCAAAGCCTCTTAAAATCACACTTCACACACTTATTTACAGTGCTATGCAAAAACAAAACACAATTACTCAATGTTATAGCCCAACTTCATACAAATCTGTTTAGATTTGTATTGTCCACACCACTTAGATTTTGAGTAAAGATATTTCTAGGAGTGACAGAAAACAGAATTATATTTAGTGGCCATGACAATAGTTTCCACTCCAGGATGTTTGTTATGTGCAAGGGACAGAAACACATAATTCTGCTTCGTTGTATCACTTCAAGTAACACTTGTAAAGCAAAACAAGCAAAAATATTTTAAAGGATCAGGGTTATTTCTGGATGTTTCATCATTTCAGTATAAACTCCAACTTCCCCTTCACAGGAACCTGCTTCTACACCTGAGCTGATAAGTTAACTCCATTTTCTTAGAATGCTTTTACTTGCAAGGACACAAACAAATCTTGGGAATGCAGCTGTACTTTTAAGTGACAGTGGTGGTCTGACAACACATGCAGAACGAAGTTTGTAATGTCTTTCATTATTACTAGTGCAACTCAAAAAATTAAATCAGCTTTTTGGAACACAAGCTCTTCTGCAAATCAGGCAAATGACAGGTTTCCATAGCAAAACTGACCTCATTTAATTCAAAGGATGAGTGTGAACAGCGTGCAAGAGCCAGATGCAGACTCAGTTCTGTGATGGAGAATGAAAACGGGCTTGTAACTCCCGGAATTGTTTTTTTAAAAGTTTCCTTTTAAAAAAAACTTTAGCACTACACTTCTCCACTGTGGTAAATAGAGTGTGCTTATTCTGTTACTATATGTCAAAGATGTGTGAGACTGATTTACAGAAATGGAGACTGAATATGATGAGTACGATAGGGTTATGAATATTATATCAGGATGCTTCCTTATTTTAAAAGCCTGCTTGAGTAGGTGATAATGATGAAAAAGTAATCTGTTGTATTGAGATTTTATTGTGTTTATGCTTATGGGGACCTTTTTTAAAAAATGCAAAGGGGTCACTTTCTAATCAGCTATTTAATTCTTACTCTGGACTGATCAGTAATCCATTTTTCCCACAAAATAGAAATCTCACCTACTTGAAAATTCTACCTGCAAATAACAACATAGCCCAACACAATAACTCCCAGCTTGCCTGAAGCATAAAGAGACAGAAAAGTGGGTTACAGCATTCAAAAAGGCATAGACTACTTAGCCGCCTACATGCTGTTGACTTTCAGGAAGAGTCAGAGGATGGAATCAGATGTGCCTCTGCAATTCCGGCAGTAAAGACTCTGCTTCATTGCTGGGTGTTCCCCAGCTGAGTACCTCAGGCAAGATGTGGCAACCAACTGCATTCAGTGGTGGTTTATGCTAATTTTATTTAATTCTTAATTAAAACAGAGCAGGGACATTCACATAAGGGATGTCACTTACAGCATCTTAGTTGCTACTTTAATTTCTCAAGATGATCAAACTCAACTGTCAGAGCACATCTGACTCATTGGTGATAAGCTGTTGAGTGCCCAAATCACCCGAACTGGGCAGTAGGTCCTGAATCACACATACACTTTAGCAAAATTTTGCCTTCTCTCTTTTGTAACTGCTTAATGCAGTACTCTTGGCCATGAATATTATAATTATTTTAGCAAACTGAAATGAATTGCAAATTTCTTGTAATAAACTGTAACAGATGTACTCCACTGGGTACAGCACCAGTTGGTTTAAAACGTGGAACAAATGGTGGGGCAAGCCAAGGACGGAAGAATCCCCATATGTTTGCTCCTGTTAGAATTCTGCAGCAGGAGCATGGCTCCAAGCGCAACAGTTGCAGAAATCAAAAAGGACTACGTAGAGTAGCACATCCCAGAATCAAATCTGAAATAAAACTGGCACAGAACATACTAAATCACATATACAATATAAAAATTACTTATATTCTAACTACCTAAATAATATGCTATCTGCCTAAATCTTGGATTGCTGACCAAGGCGACTGTTCCAGCTAGAGGTCCCTGGTGTTTAAGAACCTCTTAGAAGTTAACTGCCTAAATGAGAGAGTAATGTAAATGCTTTTGGGTCTGGTAAACTGTCAGAAAGGAAAATTAAGGAAGCTGTTTCCTTCCTATTCATTTCAGTTTCCTGGTTGGTTTTCTGCAGCTTATGGCTAGTCAAACATTCTGTAAATTTAACAAATAAATTCAGGTAGGTCAGCCAGGAAGTGGAAAATTACTGAGAAGAAAGTTCTAGAGGGAGCATTGCAACTAACACTTAACGTTTGCACCCAGATAAACACAAATAAACCACCACGGACATGAAAGAAAGGAATTCTGAGAACTCCAGTCTCTCAAACCCACTGGCCAGGAGGAGAGCTCATTGATGAGGAGAATTATTTGGGCATCTGTGATCTTGCTTGTCCCGATCCCATGCTTATTCTTCTACATAAATTCTCATTCTTGCCAGATGAGCTGTTGTTTCATCTCTCCAGATGTTGAAAGGGCAAGACTCAAGTTCCCCAACGGAGGATGTGGGTACATAATACATCACTTTTCTGAATACTATGAACTTTGGATTTCACTTTAAGATGCTATTTGCATAGTAATGGAGAACCTATGAATTATATATTTAGTGTTTTACATAAATGGTGACATTTATTTCATTAAAAATAAAGTAGGTGTAAATCCATTATCATTAAAGGCTATGAATCAGAATACAATGCTGCTGTATTTTTATAGAAATCTACTTAGGTACTATGATGATGGAGAAAGAAATAAGGCTATGAGAAAGTACACAGAAGTAAATTCAGCCCATGTTGAGTCCACACTTGTGGCGCAGCCACACAACATGCACAGTAGAGTTAAGCTTGCAGCTTCGCACAACACTGATGATTATGGTCACCACCAAAGTATTATACTTTCTTTCATTATTTCCACAGATTAATTTCAAGACTCCACTTTGGGAAGAAAGCCAAGTAGTCTGTCTCTGCAGAACACAACTCAATATATATTGCAGATGACTCCCTCAAATATGACTACCTTAAGGAATTCCTTTAGTAATAACCTATGACTAATTTTTTTATGTCTTTTAAAAGACAAAGATTATTATAAGCTAAAAAACATTAAAGAATTATTTAATTCCCTAATACATCCTCTTCTAGAAGGGAACGTATTCATTATGACTAATATATATTGATTTAGGTTGCAAGTGTCCTAAAACGCTATAAACTACTCATACGTAATGTACATTGAGAATGACTAGCATGTATAAGTGATAGCTACAGTTTTTAAATTTTGAGAATTCAGTGATAAATGGTTATGTTGATCTGTGCCAACACAGTAACATAGTTTCTGAGAATAAACTTGCCATAAGCTATTCATTAGATGTTTATTGCTTAGCTTCTACTTTAAAGGCTACGATTTAGAAGCCTACACAAAAAATACTAGCTCTAATCTTCACTATCATCTATTAATGAAAAGGCTGTAAAAGTTTTAAAACAGCATGTTATATTAGAGTGAGTAATTTATCAAGAATTTGAATTAATATTACTTCAAAATAAGTTATTTCAAGGCAGCCATTCAGGATGGGACACATTCTGCAGCTGGGAGTCTTGTTTCTAATATAGCATTTTTGGGTAAATCAAGACAGGTTTGGCACATGCTCTGCCATGATCCAACATAAATTTTTGGTATAGAAATTTCATTTCATTAAGTGTCACACCCATTTTATTCCCATCTCATAAAGCCACCCTTTTAGATGAAATCATAAGAAGCTATTGCAATTAAATCCGATTTTTAATTAAATGCATGTTCAGCAAAATAAAATATAAAGTGATGGAAGCACTATGCTTATTAGAAATGTTCCAGTACCAACCCAGGGGGCAGAGGGGGGATGGTGTTAAGAAAAAAAGTAAAATTTACATCATAGGTGGGACTGCAGTAACTTAAAGTCCTGCTTGTCTAGCATTGTCTTTGCAATATATATGCTGTGACTCCAAATTTTGAAAGCTTTTTCTTTAAAGCACTAAGCTATGAAGTCTTAGGCTTTTTTCTTTTTCTTCC